GCAGGGAGCCCGATGCGGGACTCGATCCTGGGACTCCAGGATCATGACCTGAGCCGAAGGCAGTTGCTTAACCAACTGAGCCACCCAGGCGCCCTTAAACCTTTTCTTTTATCAACCATTTGTTTTGCAGTTAATCAGTTTGACTGATTTATCATTTTTTATAGTACTGTTAGACCTTACCATTAATGAAATAACAAATTGTTATTTGGTCTGTCTGACACTATCAAGTCTTGATTTTGTCTCTTTGATATAATGTTGAAAAATAATTAAGATACAGTTTAGATACAGGTTACCACCATGTTGTAAACATTAAAAGATCAGATTTCAGACTGATAACATTTGGTGATCTGAATTTTTAGTTATACTAACTTTGTCTTGTTGATATCTGTTTGTATACTTTTCTAAGTTTTGATTCCTGCTGATATTGCCCACAGTATCTTAGACTGTTGAGAATAGATTTATTCCACATTTACTGATGCCAATTTTTTCTGTTTGGCATTAGCATATGATTCTTGAGTTCCTCATATGTTTTCCCAAGTGATTGCAATAGAGTTCCTAAGCTCTGTATTCAGTTCCCAGGTATTTATTCAGAGTAAATGATTATTCAAAGTAAACTAAATGGTAAAACTAAATGGTAGTTCATAGAACAACAAGATTGGTGTTTCCCAAATAGCCTTCCATAGAATACTTGAGCTGTTAATAGGTATTTCTTTCTTTCTTTTCTTTGAGAGAAAGGGAGAGACAGAAGGAGGGGCAAAGGGAGAGGGAGAGAGAGAGAATCCCAAGCATGCTCCATGCCCAGTGCAGAGCCTAATGCAGGGCTCAATCTCGCAACAGTGAGATCAGGACCTGAGTTGAACAGACAGACACTTAAACAACTGAGTCACCCAGGCGTCTCTTAATAGGTATTTCTTAAAATAATACATACACTTGAGAAATGCTGCTTGTTTCATCCCTGCCTTTCTGTCTGGGAAATTTCTGTTACATATTTGTATGTTAAAGGTTCTGAAGACCTCCAGTAAAGAAACCTAATGAATTTTGTTCACACCAGATTTACTCCCCAAACTTTTATTTGAACAAATACTCCCTTTGGTTATGGGATGATAGTTTCAGGTGGAACACAATTTGGGATATACTCACATAAATGTGTTTATGTATAATAACATTGTAGAAAATTAGGAAAGTTTAGGGCTATATCCCTGAATATTTCTAGCGTAGTTCTAGTTTTCTAAGAGGCCATCTTTTGAGGTTTATCAGCTCAGGTCTTGCTCCCAGGGTCATGAGTTCAAGCACAGCATTAAGCAGGCCCAGGATGGAGCCTACTTAAAAAAAAAAAAAAAATACTGGCCTAGAGAGACTACTTGTCTGCCAGTTTTTATATCTTTATTTTATAGAAGACAAATGAATATAGAATGAGAAAATAGAGGGGCTTCTGGGTGGCTCAGTCAGTTAAGTGTGGTGACGTAGGCTCAGGTCATGATCTCAGGGTCCTGGGATCCAGCCCTGCGTTGGGCTCCCTGCTGGGTGAGATGGGGTGGTCTGCTTGTCCCTCTCCCTCTGCCCCTCCCCCAGCTTGTGTGCTCGCACGCATGCTCTCTGTCTCTCAAATAAGTGAAATATTTAAAAAAAAAAAAAAAAGAATGAGAAAATAGATTATGAAGATTGAGTTCTTACTAGGACCATCCCATATTTTCATTGTTGGCTGGGCTTCAGTTATATAGTGCTGTGTACATGGATTTATTTCCCACTTACTGATTCTTATACTTAGACATGGAACAGTTGGGTAGCTGCTGTCTCTCATTTTCAGTCTCTCTTCCCATTTCCTGTTGTCCTAGCTTTGTTCCTCAGATAATCAAGATAATGGAAAATTGTGCATCTTCTTTGTGTTTCATCTTCTACTTTGCAGAGTCTGAGATGGGTGATTAATATGTCACCTTAATTTTGACATAGTATATGATGAGTGAATTTCCTGATAGTGTTTCATGTTGGTAATTTGCTGCTAGATCAGAGCTTTTGTGGTTATATTGTGATTTTTAGCTCTATCACTGTATTCCTGTTTTTTCCACTCACTTGGGCACTATTTCAAAATTCTTTGAGAAGAATGTTTATTTGGGGGCTATGTTTGTCAATTTTTACATATGGATAAACTTAAAAAAAGAACTAGGTAAGTTACCTTATCATTGTTTGGTTTGGTTTGAGATGTTCTGTGGAAAGAAATAAACAATAGCTTCCAACCAGGCTGTTTTTATTGTTTTTTTGAGTAGAAATAAACAATAACTTCAAACCAGGCTATTATAAACCGTAAAATTCATTTTAAAGCATAGCTTTTTAAAATCTGTATTAATTCATCTGAAAATTCACAAGATTTTAAACTGCTTTGATGATTGTTAGATTACAACTGTAACTTGCAATTTCTGATTTTAGTACAAACAATAATTAACATTTAATTTTATTATGCAATACATTTTTATAGATTTACTAGTAAATTTCTAATCTTAAAAGATCTGATTCAGGTTAGATCTCTGTTATATCAGTCTTTTTATTTTTAGTAATATGAGCAGTAAACTGATTTCTATCCATTTTCAAGTTATTGCTATAGGAATTGAGGCTAGGTAAAAAGTGGCATTAGTGAATATTTACGTGTACTACTTTGCATAAGACTACTAGTGCAAATTTGTCTCCTTACAGGGAAAACAAAGTGCATGATGAAGTCTTCAGACTGTGTCATAAAGCATGCTGGCGTGTATAGTACTGGCCTTGCAATGGTGGTAAGTTTCTTGTCTTCATTTCTTAGACGAGCAGGTTTCCAAGGATAAGAAAAGTCTTTCTGACCCGTGGTTATTTTTTCTAAATAGCACTGTTTTGTCCTTGATTCAGTCAGTCTGGAGGTTTCTGGATTATCTGTGCATATTATTTGTAGGATTTTCCTATATTATCCACTTATTTTTGATTGCTTCCTTTTTTTCTTATTGGAAAACATACAAGAAATGGAAACTTATTTAAAGTTGACTTAAACAAAAATTCATTTGTCAGTGGTACCTTTCTAAAGTATATTAATCAGACTTCATAGGATGTCACTTACTGTACTGAAAGCCCTGCTTAAGCAAGGTTCAAGCTTTTGGTTAAAAAGCAGCCTAGTTTCAAAAGAACCTAGTATTAGTAGCTTTTTTATAGCTTTACATTTCAAAAAAGAATACATATTTAACATAGACTTATGCATAATTTCCTCATTACATGTAGAATTTTCTAAGGAAATTCATTGTTTTAAATACAGGCATACCTCAGAGATATTGTAGGTTGGTTACAGACAGTTGTAATAAAGCAAATATTGCAATAGAACAAGTCAAAATTAATTTTTTGGTTTCCCAGTGCATGTAAAGGTTATGTTTACAGTATTTACTGTACTGTAGTCTATTTAATGTGTAATAGCATTAATCTAAAGAAACATTTTAAATACCTTAATTTAAAAATATTGCTGTAAAATGCTAACCATGATCTTATCTTTCAGTGAGTCGTAATCTTTTGCTGGTGGAAAGTCTTCCTTTGATGTTCTCAGCTGCTGATCGGGGTGGTGGTTACTAAAGGTTGGGGTGGCTGTTGCAATTTCTTAAAATAACTATTTCTCCATAGCATGTGATGCTATTTGATAGCATCTTACCCACAGGAGAACTTCTTTCAAAATTGAAGTCAGTCCTGTCAAACCCCTGCTGGTGCTTTATAATCCAAGTTTATGTGATATTCTCAATCCTAGGTTGTCATTTCAGCATTCTTTGCAGCATCTTCACCAGGAGTAGATTCCATCTCAAGAAATCACTTTCTTTGTTCATTCATAAGAAGCAGCTCCTCATCTGTTTTATCATGAGGTCGCAGCAATTCAGTCCCATCTTCAGGCTCCACGTTTTTATTCTTTTGGTATTTCCACCACATTTGCAGTTAACTTTCTCCACTGAAGTCTCGAACCCCTCAAAGTTATCCATGACGGTTGGAATCAATTCTTCCTAACTGCTGTTAATGTTGATATTTTGATCTGTTCCCATGAATCAGTAATGTTCTTAAAGGCATCTAGGATCGTGAATCCTTTCCAGGTTTTCAGTTTACTTTGCCCAGATCCATTAGATGAATCACTATCTATGGCAGCTATAACCTTATGAAATATATTTCTAAATAAAAAGACTTGAAAGTCAAAATGACTTGTTGATGCAGGGGTTGCAGAATGGATGCTGTGTTAGCAGTCATGAAAACATTAATTTCATTGTATCTCCCCATCAGAGCTCTTGAGTACCAGCTGCATTTTGAAAAGAATCCTTTTTCTGAGCAGTAGGTCTCAACAGTGGGCTTAAAGTATTCAGTAAACCGTGTTGTAAATAGATGTGCTGTCATCCAGGCTTTCTTGTTCCATTTCTTAGGGAGCACAGGCAGAGTAGATTTAGCATAATTCTTAAGGGCCCCAGGATTTTCAGAATGGTAGGTTAGTATTAACTTTAGCCTAAAGTTACCAACCAGCTCTGTTAGCCCCTAACAGGAGAGTCAGCCTGTCCTTTGAAGCCAGGCACTGACTTCTCTTCTCTAGCTATGAAAGTCCTAGATGGCATCTTCAAATTTAAGGCTATTTTGTCAACATTGAAAATCTGTGGCATAGTGTAACCACTTTCATGAATTATCTTAGCTGGATCTTCTGGATGACTTGCTATAGCTTCTGTATCAGCGCTTTCTGCTTCACCTTGCATTTTGATGTTTTGGAGACGGCTTCTTTCCTTAAGCCTCATGACCCAACCTCTGCCAGCTTCCAACTTTTCTTCTGCAGCATCCTCACCTCTCTCAGTTTTCATAGAACTCAAGAGAGTTAGGGCCTTGCTCTGAATTAGGCTTTGGCTTTAGAGAGTGTTGTGGCTGATTTGATCTTCTATCCAGACCACTCAGACTTTCTCCATATCAACAATAAGGCTGTTTTGCTTTTTTATCATTTGTGTGTTCATTGGAATAGCACTGTTAGTTTCCTTCAAGAGCCTTTTTTTTTTGCATTCACAACTTGGCTGAGTATTTGGCACAAGAGGCTTACTTTTGGCCTTTCTCAGCTTTCAGCCTGCCTTCCTCACGAAGCTTAATCATTTCTAGCTTTAGATTTAAAAGTGAGAAATGTACAGCTCTTTTACTTGAACACTTAAGAGGCCATTGTAGGGTTATCAGTTGGCCTAATGTCAATAATGTTGTGTCTCAGGGAATAGGGAAGCCCGAGGAGAGGGAGAGAGGTGGGCGAACAGCTGGTTGGTAGAACAGTCAGAATACATATAACATTTACCAATTAAATTTGCTGTCTTACATGGGCATGGTTTGTGCACTCCAAAACAATTTTAATAGTAATATCAAAGAGCACAGATCACCATAACAAATATAATAATAATAAAAAAGTTTGAAATGTGAGAATTACTGAAATGTGATGCAGAGACATGAAATGAGCAAATTCGGGTGGAAAAATGGCACTGATGATTGCAGGGTAACCACATACCTTCAATTTATAAAAAATACACTAGCTGTGAAGTGCAGTAAAATGAAGCATAACAAAATGAGGTATGCTGTAATAAAAAGAGTTGTGTAATGCATTTTGCTCTCTTTTTCACTAAAAAATATCTCTTTAACCAATTTTACTGTATTCTGTTGTGTGGTTTACTTATTTTTTTTTTTAAGATTTATTTATTTATTTGAGAGAGGAGGGGATACAGAGGGAGAGGGAGAGAGAAACCCAAGCAGACTTCACACTGAGTGCGGAGTCCGATGTGGGGCCATTCTCAAATCCCTGAGATCACAACCTGAGCCGAAACCAAGAGTTGGATGCTTTAAAGACTGTGCCACCCAGGCTCCCCTCTGTTGTGTGATTTTATGCCCAGGTCCAAATTTCATTCCATGAGGAAAGTAATAGTACCTCTATGTCAAGCAGATATTTTATTTATAGCAACTTGCCAAGAACATAATTTTCTGTCATGAAGCACACCTTTATATGATTTATTTCATGTGTGCATATCTTACAAAAGCAAGAAACTAGACTTATTCATCAGTATCTTGTGAATTCCTCTTCATTTTAAATACAGGATTGTCATTGTTATCTTTATTCATAAATCAATGTAATCTTCCTCGGTAGCTTGCTTATGTCCAGATTTATCAAATGCTTTTTAAAAAATTCACTAAGTTATATGAATGTGAGTGATCTCTTATATAAAACATTTCAGTAGACTCATGTATCATTAGCTATAAATTCTAGAAAAGTGATTTTTTGGGAATCTTCTATTTGCCTGTTGAAATTCCCTTTCTCTTCCCTCTTCCCCACCCTGCTTTGCCCTGGGAACCTCACCTGTGTGTATGGACTAGATCAATGGCTTTCTTACCTTCTGGCTTCCCTTTGGGTTCAGCCAATGGAAGACCCTGGCAGGAAAACATGTAGATGGGAGGACAGTACAATCTGGGTGTTTATTCTCTCAGATCTCTCTACCAGGTTATCCTAGTTTGGACATGAATTGGCCACAGTTCCTCTCTATATGGCCCGGTAATCCTCTCTACACTGCTCTCTCTCAAGATTCTGATAATTCTCTCCACTCCCCTTGTTTCAGGCTCAGAGGTGGTAACTGCATCATCCCTTATGTTTTTTCTAAGCCTTTCCCTGTCCTTTGTAAATCATCTCTTGTAAACTCTCCAGGATTACCCAGTTTAGTGTGTCATCTTTTTGTTGTTAGAACCTTGAATGTTCCAAGAGATGTATTGGAGGATTTGCTATCCACAATGATAATCCATTTTTGCAACTGCAAAAACACCCTTTCTGTTTGTTCTTTACTACTTCTGTTACAGAGTCTTGAATACTAGAACACTGAATTGAGATTCGGAACACCGTGGTTTAAATCCTAGCTCCACTGTCGTGTAGCTCTGGGATTTGGATTTAAGACTTAGGCCCATATTTGTCACCTGTAAAGGAAAGACCGTCTAGTCCCATTTTCTTTTTTTTTAAATTTTATTTATTTATTTGTCAGAGAGAGAGAGCATGCACAAGCAGGGGGAGTGGCAGGCAGAGGGAGAAGCAGGCTCCCCGCTGAGCAAGGAGCCCGATGTGGGACTTGATCCCAGGACCCTGAGATCATGACCTCAGCCCAAGGCAGATGCTTAACCGACGGAGCCACCCAGGCGTCCCTAGTCTCATTTTCTTAAGATTCTTTCTAGCAATTAATATTCTATAGATGTCATTGTGTTATTGAAAGGTATAGTCTTTCTCTCTTATCTTGATGTAAAATTGGAGAGTCTTATCCTGGTATTTAATTCTGTATATTTTATTTTAATTTTTTTCCACAAAGAAATGTAATGATTCAAAGCACAAGTCACCTTAACAGAAAAAAGATGCTGACAGAAGTTTAATATTTTTTCTCAGTTATTCTAGAAAAGCTATGTGAATTATTTTTATTTTTTATTTTTTTTAAAGATTTTATTTATTGATTTGACAGAGAGAGAGACAGTGAGAGAGGGAACACAAGCAGGGGGAGTGGGAGAGGGAGAAGCAGGCTTCCCGCCGAGCAGGGGGCCTGACATGGGGCTCGATCCCAGGACCCTGGGACCATGACCCGAGCTGAAGGCAGACGCTTAACCAACTGAGCCACCCAGGTGCCCCAACTATGTGAATTATTTTATAAATGATTCAGGAAGGAATTTTCTTAAGTGAGAAATATTTCCTTTTTTTTTTGGAAGATGGAATATATATTTATTATAAATCACAGTATCACACAGGTGCACAACATAATGATTTGATATTTGTGTATATTGCAAAATGATCACCACAATAAGTCTAGTTAACATCTATCACCTCACATAGTTACAATTTTTTTCTTGTGATGAGAACTTTTAAGATCTACTCTCTTCGCAACTTTCAAATAAATAATACAGTATTATTGACTATAGTCTCCATGCTATACACTACATCCCCATGACTTATTTAATGTAACTGGAGGTTTGTACCTTTTTTATTATTATTATGTTCAATTAGAAGTCAGAAATATTTCTAATTGAAAAAATTCAGTTACTATAATTGTTATAGATAAGAATGCTTAAATGTGGACTCTGGACACCATTCAAATTAGAATTCAATTTGAAGGCAACACTTTTAGCTCCGTGACTTACTTTAATGATTAGTATTGGGGTTAAGTGTATAGTTTCCCCCTTCTTTTTCTTTTGATTTATAGCCAAGTTTTTTATATCGTAAATAGCTGTTGGTGAAGTAGTTTGATTTTCAGAGAACCCTCTTTAATTTTGGCTTAAACAAATTTTTTTTAATGAAGCCACCCACTATCGCTGAGGGTTGATAAATTGCTAAATGTATACAATTTTGATGGTTGCCCTTGGCTAAACAATGGTTGCAGCCAGGCAAGTGACAAAGATTTTTTGTGTTCCTTGGTTTCAGGGTGCTATATGTGACTTCTGTGAAGCCTGGGTTTGCCATGGTAGGAAATGTCTTAGTACCCATGCCTGCGCCTGCCCTCTTACTGATGCTGAGTGTGTGGAGTGTGAACGAGGTGTCTGGGACCACGGTGAGTGATTACATGCAAGTGGTGAACTTTACTGTATTAAGTAAAGGCTGACTTTGAAACATTCTGGCTGCTCTTTCTATATGAGTAGCCAGGGGATTGTGGGAGTCCCCTTTTTTATGGTTCAGTTTGGCAGTTTTCATTGTAGCCTTTACCAGAACAAAAACTACTGTGTCACTTTGGTGTAATTCTGAAGTAAATCGCTTGACTTCTTTAAATTGATATTTATGGCTTCTTTAAATTGAAATTTATCATGGTTACATTTGTGGGTTTTGTTTTTTAATCCAATAGGAGGCAGAATATTCAGTTGTTCTTTTTGTCATAACTTTCTCTGTGAAGATGATCAATTTGAACATCAAGCCAGCTGCCAGGTTTTAGAGGCGGAAACATTCAAATGTAAGTTTTTATAAATTAGATGTCCTTTATACCCAGGATTCTTAATAGTATTAAGTGTTAGACTCAAAAAAGAATCTAGTTTTTTATGCAGCCTCTTGTGGACTATAATTCAACTTAATATCTATTTTCCGTTTCTAAAAAAAATTCAGAACCACATAGGCTGTTCTTTTCAATAGGGATGCCACTGGCATTTTGGTTGGGTCAGTTCTTTGTTATGTGGGATTGATTATAGGACTGTAGCCTTCCTGGTCCTGAGTACTAAGTATCATTTTCACCTCCAAGTTATTATAACAACTCCCACCCCTACCCGCCGCCCCCCTCCCCCCCCAAACCCACACACATTTCCAAATGCCTTCAAGTAAGTGATACGTAATACTACCCCTGGTTTGTTCCTGCTAGTTGGTTTCGGTGATTGTTAGACAAGAGTATGCATCAGAAACACCTGTGGAGGTTTTTTAAACATACAGCCACCCAGGCCTCATCCCTGAGATTCTTTGAAGTCTGTGGTAGGTGCAGGCCTATGTATTTTACCCACACACATAATTGTCATGTATCTTTCAGTTTGAGAACCAGTGTAACTGGTTCTCAATGGTATTATCTTTACAGATTACATTTTATTTCCGCATTATTTTTGATTCTCAAAAGCTCAAACTTTAGAGTCAAACACCTCCTGGTTATGTGATTTTGGGCAAATCACCAAATCTTTCTAAAGCTGAATTTCCTTATTTATTAAAGAAGATGCTAATTTCTTTTTCAAAGAGTTAATTAAAATGAGAATCCATATAAAGTGTTATTATGGTACCTTTTACTTGGAAAGCCCTTATTAAATATCGTTATAGAAAAGGCTGAAATTCCCCAGGTACTCACTTGCTTGAATTTGGTTTTTCTTTTGATGTGAAATGCTAATCTCTATATTCTCTTACAAATTTAAAGTTGATAAGTTGTCAGTTTTAATATATACATAAATGCATATATATGTAATTCTTACAATATTCATATAGAAATTCTCAAAGGTTAAAGAACATCTCAAAGTAGATAGCATTTTTGAGCCATTCTTAGACTTCTGCAAAATCTGTAATATAAAAATTGAATTACTTTAATTTGGAGCCTGAGAACTTTGAGTATTTTGTAGCATTTGACCCCAAAGACTGGCAGTTGTGAGTGATAAGACTATAATTTCATCAGGAAGTTTTAGTGATTCAGTAAAAGACAAAAGGAAAAATACAAAAGCAGAATAGTTGACAGGATTTTAAGATAAATCTATCATCATGTCTTTGATACTTGATATTAAGGTTATGTTCATTGCAGGTTCCTAGGTGTCTTTGGTTTACTGTAGTTTATCTTCTTTACTTTTTTTTCATTGCTTTAGTTTTTTTCTTGCCATTCTTTCTTTGCCAGTTGCCATTCAATGCTTGTTTTTTTCTGAAATATTTTCCTAATCATACCCATAGGCCACAAAGGTATAGCTTGTTTCCACCCCCTTAACTGGTCATATCTCATCATTTATAGGTTTGACCTTACTTAGGAGTTGGGAGATATAGAAATTCTTTAAGATACTTATTTACCTGCATTATCAGTGGGAAAGATGTTTTAAGAAAAAACAAAACAAATACGTTGACTCTGCCTCTATTTTTTTAAATAATTAAAATGGCTCCGGGACTTCTAATTTAAAATGGCTTGTTATCAGCAGACTTTGATGCATCCCAACCTACTCTCTTTTAAAATACTCTGAAGACATAGAAATAGATTTAAAATGGAAACCATTCCCCAGTTTAAAACTAGGAAAGTCAAACTATTTTTATATGTATTTATATATTTATTTATTTAAGATTTTAATTTATTTTTTGACAGAGAGCAAGACAGCGAGAGAGGGAACACAAGCAGGGGGAGTGGGAGAGGGAGAAGCAGGCTTCCCGCCGAGCAAGGAGCCAGATGTGGGGCTCGATCCCAGAACCCTGGGATCATGACCTGAGCCGAAGGCAGACGCTTAACGACTGAGCCACCCAGGCGCCCCGTCAAACTATTTTTAGAATCTGGGAGAAATGCATTGTTTATATAAGTCCAAAATTGTAACTCTTGGGGAGAGAAATAACTGGGCAGTGAACCAGAGTGCATATGTGTTGGCTTGAGGTAATCAGGGAGAGAAGAATGGCAGGGCCATGTTCCATCCTAGGTTGAGTTCCCAGAAGTAAGGATGAGGGCAAGATAGACAAAATTAATTTCTTGGGATCATGTCTTTGAGGCACGTAGAAGACTCAAGTAGTGGGGATGGGAAAAGATTCTGTATCAGAAATTCCTGGGGCTCCTTGGTGGCTCAGTCAGTTAAGCATCTGCCTTCTGCTCATGTCATGATCCCAGGGTCCTGGGATTGAGCTCCAGGTGGGGCTCCCTGCTCAGCGGGAAGCCTGCTTCTCCCTCTGCCTGCTGCTTTGCCTACTTGTGATCGCTCTTTCTCTCTGTCAAAAATAAATAAATAAAATATTAAAAAAAAAAGATGCCTGGTGTACACTGGGAGATTGGGTTGGGAGCTTTGTACTTTCAGTGTGTGTTCTGGCTATGTATTTGAAAGGGATTTATAACATTTTGGTTAAGTATATCCTTTTTCTTTTTCTTTCTTTTTTTTGACTGAATGAAGAAGGAACCAAAAAACTCCCTGGGCATATCTTCAGGTGGAAATGATTGAGATTTCAGATTTTTGTCCCCACAGACTGAATGAAATAATATGGTTATTATTGAAGTACTTTGGTATACTTACATATGCCTTATATAGTTAACCCTTGAACAGTATGAGGGTTAGGGGCACCAACCCTCTGCACAGTTGAAAATCTGCATATAACTTCTGACTCCCCAAAAACTTAACTGCTAATAGCCTGTTGTTGACCAGAAGCCTTACTGATAACATAAATGGTTGATTAACACATATTTTGTATGTATTATATGATATATTCTTACAATAAAGTAAGCTAGAGAAAGTAAAACGTTACTACGGAAATCATAAGGCAGAGAAGATACATTTAAAGCACTGCACTGTATTTATTGAAATAAATTTGCACGTAAGCAGACTTGCACAGTTCAAACCCATGTTGTTCAAGGGTCAACTGTATATAGTAAGTACTCAGTTGATTTTTTAACTTTTATTATTAACACATAGGACAAATAATACATATCCAACTGGATTATTGGCATTACGGTGGAAGAAAGCAGGATACTCGGACAGAAGCAATAATAATACATATAATTGAGAGCATCATTTCTGAGTGTAAAAAACGTACTTGCCTGTTCACATAAAAAAGGCTACCCATGAACCAGGCAAAATTAAGTAAAAGAATTCCCAAATTAGAAACATCTGGTCAAATATTTGCATTACAAAGACAGGCTTCCTTTTACTTGTTTTCCTTTTTATTTTTTCAAGACCTCTAAGTGAATTGAAAGTTAATAGTTTATATTCAGGCTTTATTAGTGTAAGGCTTAGTTTATTTTCTCTTTCTATACCTCTGGTACTTATTTTTTTCTTCCATTTCTGGCACAGTCAATATGTGCCAGACATTCTGGCTGTTCTAATATATTTGCACTTAAGTTTAGGTTTTTCCTCAGTAATTACAGGTAATGACCAAAATTAACATGGCTTACTGACTAAAATAGTAATAAAATATTTTGGGATTTTTCCCATCTTTTCCTGCCCACTTCAACATTATTTTCTCTTCATAACTACCCTTTCTACCTGAAGTATTCTATTCCCTTATCAGAAGTTATGCAAAAAATGGCAATAGCCTGCGTCATCAGGAGAGATTATATATTAATGGAGAAAATTATTCTTTTTAAGATATATTTATTTATTTTTTAAAGATTTTATTTATTTACTTGAGAGAGAGTGAGAGAGAGAGCATGAGCAGGGGGAGGGGCAGAGGGAGAAGCAGACTCCCTGCTGAGCAGGGAGCTTGATGTGGGGCTCCATTCCAGGACCCTGGGATCATACCTGAGCTGAAGGCAGATGCTTAACCAACTGAGTCACCCAGGCGTTCCTCTTTTTGAGATTTAAGCATTATGTGATAAAGGGAAGAACTTCAGCCAGTGTCATGAAAAAAAGGATGTCTCACCATTTCAGTTTTCTAAATATAATTAATGAAGTTTGCCATCTCCTAGAACAGGAGAAGTGGAAGGAGATTGGAGAATAATTAGTGTCATACTAGCGAAAGAATGCTGGGTGTGTGCACTTCGTTTCCTTCCTTCTGGCTGGGGATTCCATCTCATTTTATGTGCCCTCTAGGTTATATTATGAGACCAAAAAAATGTTAATAATTGATCTAAGTACATCAAGTATAAATCTGTGGAAAATAGTGTTTTCGTTCGAAGTTTGAATCTGGACATTATGTATTTTTGCCCATAGGTGTTTCATGCAATCGACTTGGTCAGCATTCCTGTCTCCGTTGTAAGGTATACTTGTTTGCTATTTTTAGATTTGGTTTTTAATCCCAGTACTCCTCCACCTTGGATTATTTATAGCCATTATTAATCTATAAGGGTCTTTAAACATTATGTAGTTTACTTCTTTTATTTTGGAGATTGTGAAATTGAATTGAGAAAGCTGAATGACTTTCCAAAGGTCATCCAGTTGGCTTATCTTAGAGTTGACACTAATGCACATGTCTCCTGTTCGCTCAGTGTTTTTACACATTACGTTTATGGAGAATATTCTGACCAAAATGTTGAGAGTATATTTTAATTAATATCACAATTCACTTGCTTAGGAGAGTTTGAGTAAAGTGAAGATTTCCATAATGTTCTATTTCCTTAGATCTTGTCTCCAGCATTTCTCTTTGTCAAAAATCATTAAACAGGTGCAGTGAATTCACTTCCTATCAGAAACATTTCTCCGGTTCTTCTGGTCCTAACCCTGTCTCTTGTTTCTCTCTCAGATCTGCCCCAATTTGGCCAAATGGCTTTCAGGTGTTGTCTATGCTGTTTCCTCTGCCTTAGATCTCTCTTCCCATTTTGCTTATCCTACTGTACCCTTGTTCTCCTTCAGATCTCAGCCAACACATCATGTTTTCCAGTAAACCTTTCCTGAATCCCATATCCTGTTTAGTGCCCCTCCGCTGCACTTCCCTTTCATTGCAGAGTGTTTCACAATTATCTTTCCACTTGTCTTGTGTCCCCAGTTAGGTTATGTATCTGTGAGGGTGGATAGGCTATTCACCATTATGTCATCAGGGGCTTTGTGAATGCTCATATATTTATGAATGAATCAGTGTGCCTACACTGTTCATATCCTATGTATAGTTTCTGCTTTATGTTAGGTCATAGTTCAAAGAGTTCTGGCAAAGACCATTTCCCTTAAGAAATTTAAATCAGGAGTGTGACCAGTCCCAACAAAAGTCTTAATCTCTACCCTAACAAAACTGCCTTTAAATCTCCAGGAAATATTTAGTGATAATTTTGTATATTTTTTTGAATTATTTATTTACTTGCTTATTTTTACTTCTCCTATGTAGGCTTGTTTCTGTGATGATCATACAAGGAGCAAAGTGTTTAAGCAAGAAAAAGGAAAACAGCCTCCCTGCCCCAAATGTGGACATGAAACTCAGGAAACTAAGGATCTCAGCATGTCAAGTAAGGCTCTTCTTAAAATACCAATGGAGTGATTTTGCTTTCTTGCTTAGATAAGATTTATCTCTTTTTTTTCTCTTTCTATTTTTGTTTTTGCCTCTTCTTTGTATTTGAAAAGATGAATGTGTTCTCTTAAGCAAATGGAATTTTACAGCCTTGGAAAATTTGTGGGTGAAGTTTCTCAATTTAACTTAAGAAATACACCATCATTCACTTTGATATTTGGCATTTGACTCAGTTAATGACATAGTGAATACTGAAATTTAAGACCAAAAAGTGATTTTTCTGCCTTTGCTGAAGCTTTCCTTGTTAAATAATTGAGTAGCTATAAATCTTTAATATTCGAGTGCTGGTAATCTTCAGTGCTTGGAAGTTGGAATTCATTCTGAAGCTTTTTGTAGGTGTGTGGTATTTGAGCAGCTATGCTTATTATGTAATATATCACTACTATAGGAAATTGTTTTGTGGTTTTTACATAACTTTTCTGTGAAGGAGTAAGACTACTACAAACATGCTTATAGTAATGCAGCTTACAATTTTGTTAAAGAGAATTTGACTCTTTACCAAACGTAGCAGAATGGAACCATAATTCTAAATGACCCTGATAATACTTTTGTTTAATCAAAGATGTAGTTGTACAATGAGGTGAGACTGATGATTTTGCTGATTTTTTGCACTAAACCGTATTGCCACTTAGGCAGAAGAAATGAAGGGCTTTGTCTTGTCGGACACCAGAATTACAGAGTAGTTCTCTTAAGAAAAATGTGTAGTGACATGAATTCAACAGTTCTGTGATTTGAAAATAAAATTTTAATCTATCAAATGAAGAGCATTTTAGTTTTTAACATGCCTTATTTGAATTCTGTTTGGAGAGTGCTATTGTTCTTATTTTTTTTTTTTTAAGATTTTATTTATTTATTTGACAGAGAGAGACACAGCGAGAGAGGGAACACAAGCAGGGGGTGTGGGAGAGGGAGAAGCAGGCTCCCCGCCGAGCAGGGAACCCGATGCGGGGCTCGATCCCAGGACCCTGGGATCATGACCTGAGCCGAAAGCAGACGCTTAACAGCTGAGCCACCCAGGCGCCCCCTTATTTTGTTTTCCAACTTTTTCTAGAATTAGGGAAATGACACTGTTGTCTTTATTATTTGTTATATATGGTATGTGTATAGACTCTGAGTAGGATAGAACCGATTGTTTACTGAGGTCTCCTTTCTTTCCAGTTAAGTATTAAGTGAGGAAATTAGGAAAATGGGAGTAAGAAGCAGCCAGTCAAGTTCATATAATTTTGTATATTGTAGAGAAAAGTGAAGATATAAAGAATCGGAACAAAGTGCCATGTACATATCTGTCTTTTGCAGCACGCTCCCTGAAATTTGGCAGGCAGACTGGGGGTGAAGAGGGAGATGGAGCTTCTGGCTATGATGCCTACTGGAAGAACCTTTCTTCTGATAAGTGTGGTGATAGCAGCTACCATGATGAAGAGGAAGATGAAGATGAAGCAGAGGATGATGAAGAGGAAGAAGATGAAGTTGGAAAGGATTCAGATGCTGAGTCATCCGATTTATTTACCAATTTGAATTTAGGAAGGACCTATGCCAGCGGCTATGCCCACTACGAGGAACAAGACAACTAGGAGAGCGGCTTGCCCCTGCGTGACCGTGTCGGAGAGGAGCCGGAATATGTGTGCCTGATGAATTGGGTGTGGATGTTCAGAAGTACTGTCACTTAGCCTTGTGCAAAAGACTAGTCACATTCACGGGGGCAAGGAGTAGGGCACGGCATTTTTATAGGAACTGATAATCAGGCTTATAGCATAAGAAAAATGAGTTCCAAATGTAAGATGTGTATTGATCCAAGCAATTGAAGCATCGTGGATTGGAGTTTTACTGATTTCAGTAATCAGTAGGTTATGCCAATTAGATACATACACAGGATAAAAGAATAGGATGGTAATATATTTGATTGAAATTAAATTGCTGTTTTTATTAAAAAACACTGCTTATATTCATTCTGATTTTGTAAGATGGTAATGGGTAAAACGAATTATTGTATTTTTCCTTGTAGGTCCACAGGATGAGAGTCAGATGTTAAATGCTGAATTTTCATTAAATATTCATGTTATCTTAAGTAGTCACGATATGTATGTTTTAGCAATTACTCATTGATTTTTTTTCTTCACAGTGTGTGCCCTGAACAGCACCTGTTATGAATGCCTAAATGTATAGACAAAGGTGACCACGTAGCTCGTTTTCAGAGACACGGAGACAGTATTATTATACAGATGCATTATGCATTTGTCTTTGAATAAATCTAGTATTTCACTTACGTACTTTTGATATTGAATTTCTTGTTCTTAACTTTTTAAACTTACTTTGGAAAGCATTTCCAATATTTTTTTATAAACTGCTTCATTTTTCATCTACTACGCAAAATAGGTAGCAGAGATTAGTGGTGTGGTAGATGCAGACTTTTGCGGCTAGAGTCCATCACTCATGGTAGGTGGAGAACAGGAAGTTGTGGGCGCAGGTTCCAGTTGTACACCTTACACTGGCGATGGATTGGGATGGTGTGCTAGAGAGGAATGTGTTAGTGCCCCGGCTGGCATTTGAGAAGGATGGAGAAAATTGTAGCTGTGAGGATAAAAGGGTTGGATGGCTATTGCTAGGCCATTCTTACTCTATAGAAACATAATGAACAGCTGAGGGCAATAATGGGCTGTGGGAAGCCAGGTGTGAAAGCCAGAGGGCCTCTGGATGCACGGGAACTAGTTTTCATCTCTTGCAGCAGGATGGCTGAGAAAGCTGAGGCCCAAGCACAGGACTTTAATAGTCTGTATGGATAGACTTCAAGACAGTTGCCAATCAAGGCAGGTCTGTTACGTAGCGGTCAGGGCACTTGTTGAGAAAACCCAGGACCCTGACAAGTGAGGTGGAGGCATCTGAATGGATGCCGCCGAAGATGTTTACTCCACAGACTCCTGAACTTTCTGGGCCTGCAGTCGCAGCCCACCCCTCTCTGGTAAGGGCAGACACTCCTGCCCTGCCTCCAAGCTGGGTGACAATGCAGAGCTCTCTCCCCAGGCAACAAGTCCCCCCTTTAGGACTTGTCCTATCTCCAGGCTACTAGGTTTTGAATTAGGATTAAATAGCTATAATTTGGGTTAAGGAAAACTCAGCGGGAGAGGTGCTGGGCCTGCAGAGAAGACCAGAGTCTACCCCAAGGAGCTGCAAGAATTGGCCAGCGTGGACTGGGAGGAGCTGGAGGAGTACATGAGGCCAGAATCAGGGTGAAGATCAAGAGAGTCCGATCATAAACTAGGGGAGAACTTAATAGCACCCACATTGGGTCCTTGGGTTGCAGGATAAGAGCTATCTTAAATTAATAGGATTTAACACCCTCGTTGAGATCCTGGGAGTTGGTATGAACTCACTCTACCAGGATGGCTCCTAGAAGCATGGAAAAAGCAATGACTGATTCTGAGCAAAAGCAAAGTTGAAATGCAAGCATATTACTGTGGCAGAGTGTGGAGGAAAGGATTAAAAGTTGAAGGAAGTGGATATGCTGGAATGGATAGATGGGCTCCAACATACCAAAGTGGGTGTAGTTACCACGACAACAAAATGTCACTGTGAGCAACAGATGAATGCATCCTTGCTTTATGAGGCAGGTCAAACCAGCTGTTCTAGAAAGACCAGTGGTTCATTCTCCGTGGAATAGACACACATTCTGGGAATGGGTTTGCCCTTCCTTCTGCAGGGCCTCATCCAACATCATCAGTACCTGAGAGCTTATGGAGTGTTCAGTTTACTGAGATGAGACACCACCTAACATGATGTCAGGTCGGGGGATCATCTTTCAAGCAAAGGAGGGGTAGGAATAGGCCTGTAACCATGGGACCAAGGGTATCACATACTCTGCCACCTAGAAACTTTTTCCCTGGGGATATGTTGTCATGGTGTGCTGAAGACACACTGAGCCAGCAGCTCAGAGGCAATACTCTGCAAGGACTTTATATCATCCTTCAAGTTACAGATACTCACTGAATCAAAGGTACTTCTATTCCACTGTGTTCCCAATAGACGATCCATGTGTGATGGGTTTGGATAGTGTACCATTTTTGGCTTTTTATGTCCAGAGACCAAGAGGTGAGAAGAGATCTACTTGGGCAGAGATAAGTGACTTTTCATCAGGAGGATGTAGGGCTCTTTTTACATAATGGTGACAGGAATATGAGTGGAATTGGGTTTTCTAGGTGTTCCTTTGCCCACTTGTGACCATAACTACCCCAGCCTATGAAGGGCCTGATGACTAGATCCCTGGGGGGATGAGGGTCTGGGTTAAGCCACTGAGACAAGCAGAGGTAATAGCAGGCAGGCAGCCCGTAGGGTTTGTTCCGCTGCACAGCTGCTTTGGCTGGATCAAGCCCTCCCCAGAGCAAAGCATGCATCTGTTGCCTGAGCAACCGGTTTGGCTATTTTGGCTCAATCTGGCCCAACTATGACAAAGAGCTATTAAGCTAGTATTTCTGTACAGAATCTAGGAGCTGACACTTAACGTGGGGCAAATACATTTTTCTCCTCTTCGTTTTGATCACAGCTTGGCAAACTCTTTGCTGGGATATTGTAACCATGCGTGTGAGGGTGACCTTTATGAGTCACCTACAAGCTTCTGCTCGTGCAGAATGTATTACTCCAGTTCAGAACGCGAGTAGCCCATATAGCATGCACACCTGTGCTTTACAGGATGCTCCTGGTTACTTATTTTCCTAATGGGGACAACTCAAAGGATGAAACAATATATTAAATCCTTAATCATATTTTATGGAATCAGTAAATTAGACATATTGAAGCATTTTAAAATAAGGAATCAGAGTTAAAACACAGAGTGTTTCTGATAATCTTTGTGAGAAGGCAAAATAGTATGCTAACTGCAATATGCTGATTTTCCTGAATTGCATTGAGAAGCCGAGCCACAATTCTGTCCACACTGAATTCTTTCTCCTCCACTCAGGACATCTGCGGGGCTTCTTCTGGGTCTCCTTCCCTGTGCAGTGACTTCATTCCTCGGTGTCCCGTGTCTTAAAAACTACTATTTCATGTATTTTATCCTCCCTGCCACCCCGCCCCTTTTTTTTCCAGGTGAGAGTAAATCTGGTTTCTGTTACTCCAGTTGGAAAACTAATTCTGCAGAGCTGTTTCTTCTTTGACATATTATTTTCCATCCCTGTTTAGAAGGATTCTTAATATTCTTAGTATTTTTAATCTGCCAAGGAAAGAAGGGATTACCAAAATCTAGTTGTAGTAGTGTATCTATTCCTAACTCTCTTGACTTAGTTATATTACTAATCTTGCCTTAAAAAAATCTTGTCAGTGGTCTTCCATCTGTAAAATAAGAATAATTCTTACTACTAACTTTACATTTAGGTGGTATCAGTTATAAAAATTACATTCATTGCAGGTTTAACGTAAGACCATGTTTTTGTCAGGAGAAATCGTGGCAATGAGTGATCTTTGTTGTTTTTTTTCCTCAGAGATCATTTTAATGTGAAAAACTCTGACAGCAGAGATTTTGCCTTCACAAATAGTTTAACATAAGTCCTCCAGCATCTTTCCCTTATACATAAGGGAAAATATTTTGGCCTTATCTAGTAAAAACAGACTATGTGGTTAAATGACAGGTATACATTCAGGTTCCCGGTTATAATTTGAGTTGATTCTTTTTTTTTTTTTTTTTAAAGATTTTATTTATTTATTTGACAGAGACAGAGATAGCGAGAGCAGGAACACAAGCAGCGGGAGCGGGAGAGGGAGAAGCAGGCTTCCCCCCGAGGAGGGAGCCCGATGTGGGACTCGATCCCAGGACCCCGGGATCATGACCTGAGCCGAAGGCAGACACCCAACGACTGAGCCACCCAGGCGCCCTTTGAGTTGATTCTTGAACACAGGCTTCACACAATGTGACCAATGATCCTACTCCCAAGGATCCCGCTTCATACTACCCTTATCTTAAAGCCGGAGTTCCTGATCTCTGATTTTGAATTAAAAAAAAAAAAGATTGTTAACCTAAATTAAGTTTTAATAAACAGAACTAATAACAGAAACATCCCTAATTAGATTCTGGAGAGGAAGCAAGAAGCCACCTAGAGCCGAAGAGAACAAAAATTATCCCTTCAGGACTTTATTTTGGGCTTTCACACACATGTGAACACGTGGAACCAGATACAAATTTATAAGGTAGATAAATATGTAATAATTAGCAATTAGAGCAGGTTACATGTACAGTCTTCCGTATTAATAATTATACTATTTTTTAGGAAATACAATTATTAAGTCATTGTCAGATCTCTCAATTTCCTGGAGACAATGCTTCCGGTGAAAATTTCAAAGAACATTTTTCTACAACGTAGCTCCATCATTGGAGTATCATCATACCAAAACAATTGATGGGGTTCTCTTTTACCCAAGGCTTTAAATGTGAGTTTATTCCCTATCCACCCATACTCACACACACATTACCAAGTAATGTTTGCCTAAGGTTTCCAAGTATCGCAGTGGGCATTTATACTTGCAGATCTAGTTCAAGATCTGAATACCCCGAACTTAGTTGTTAAGAGCTATGTATGTTGTCAAGGCTAACACTAGGAAACTGTGTTTAGAATCTGTCAGTTACCAAGATCCCCCTAAATAATTTTTTACTATGAGCCTGATTTTCTTAAATAAAGCATATAGAGTAATTACCCATCATAAAACTATTAGAAAATATCTGAAATGCCATTAGATTTGATGGGGCCATTCAGTCAAGAAAATATAAAAACCATAAGATAAGCTAGCTGTCTTAAAATTACACTCAAAAAAAAAAGACAACTACACTGGGAGTTGTTTCGTAAATTTCATCATCTTCAAATGCTTTTGTGGTTTATGGTGATGTGTCACATATTAGTTCCTTGCAGCCTTTTTCATTTTGATCTTCGTTTGGATAACTGGGTTTTCAGGGGTGTGGATCATGGTTGTATAATTCTATTGCTATTTTCTATTTCTATTGCTATTTTACAGCAATACAACGCCTCAAAAAGAAAAAGTAGAGGATGGGGCGCTTGGGTGGCTCAGGCGGTTCAGCGTCTGCCTTCGGCTCAGGTCATGGTCCCAGGGTCCTGGGATCAAGCCCTGCATTGGGCTCCCTGCTCCGCGGGAAGCCTGCTTCTCCCTCTCCCTCTACTCTTCCCCCCTGCTTGTGATCTCTCTCTCTCTCTCAAATAAATAAAATCTTAAAAAAAAAAAAAGAAAAAGCAGAGGGTGGAAAGCAGGAAGTCCTCCACAACATTAGCAC